CATCAGTGTCACTGATCAGGTGCCAGATTGGACAAACAATGACAATGCCAGTATTTGTGGGTTTGATTTGCTTAAATCCTCACGGGCATGGCAAGAGTCCCTCCTGCCAATATCCTGTAAAATCAGCAGCATCTGTGTGCAGAACAGCTTCCTAAAAGTCAAGGAGCAGTTGGATGAAGGCTCAGAAAACGCTATGCAGTCATCAGAGTTAATTTTTCATGCCTTCAGTCTCCATTTTTGGTGGTCTTTTTTCCATTCACTTGTTTGTCCCCCACCTTTCCCTCCAGTTTGGGACAGGTCCTATACGAGGTCCTGGGAATGCAAAGAAGAATGAGACCTGTTCTTGTCCTAGAGAGCCAGAGTTCTTGGAAAAAACAAACCATGAACAACTAATAAATACCATGCAGAAATAAGTGTGCTAGAAAAGAAATAAGTGTGATAGAAAAGCAGAAATTATAAAGTGCAGAAGGACAGAGGAGAGACAAAGACTGGGGAAGTAAGTGAAAACAGCGATGTGCCATTTAAGTCAGGCAGGAAAGACAGGGAGGGCATTTTAGGCAACAGAACCAACATGTGCAAAGGCAAAGTCAGCACGCTGTATTCTAACAACAGGAAGTGTGTCCTCCGTGACTGAAGCACAGGGCACAGTTTATAGGGAAGGGCAGGAGTTGATGCCCCAAAAGTAGGTTGGAGCCATGTGTGAAGGATTCTGTGTGTTGGACCAAAGTTTGAGCATTTTCCTGATTGGGAAGCAGTTAGAGGTATTTAAATACACATGTGGCCTGGTTGGTTTGGGGCTTCGCAGAGGTGCCTCTGACAGCAGTGTGAAGTGTTCTGTGAGTTACCTCAAGAGTCCAGGCAAGAGCGGTGCCAGGCCCAAGGCAATGGGGCTAGAGAAGGCGGAGGTGGACTGGAAATCCAGTTTAAAAATAGACTTGGCCCAAGTGGAGGCATTGAATATAGAACAGGCGGGAAAGAGAACATCAGACTGTAAATTGAGTGTCTGCGTAGATACTTTCTCCAGAGCCTTTTAGGAGGAGAAGACTGAATTTACATAACTCTTTAGATGACTGCTGAGACGTGCATTAACTCTCTAATCTGCATTTGAGTCATTTAAAAAAAATAGCCTAAAAGAATCAACCATCAGTAACAAATCCTTTTATTGGACTAAGAGACTTCTTGGTGTTTGAAATCCTCTTGTCTACTCATCTGTCACACTCCTGTGGGTGGCCCTGTTCAGAAAGAAGTGTAGGCCCCGGTGCAAGGCTGCTGGAACCTTCCTGGCTTTTCTCTCCTGGATCCCCGAGTCAGAGTGAGGAGGCTGCCTTGGGTAAACCAGGGCTGAAGGATCCGGTGGGGCAGGAAGATGGAGAGGTACACTGAAGGTTCAGGGCAGCCTTCCACAGCCAGGCCACAACATCGCACTGTTAGGGGAGGAGTTCTGAAGTCCAAGGTTGTTGTCATGGTTCCATCTTAATTTTTATCAGCTGGATACGAGTGAGGCTTCATTGTCATATACTTAATGCATTTGCTCAGATCTTTGGCTAACCGATGTTTTTCCATGACTTTTTGACAGCTATTTTTGTTCAGTAATGAATAATAAAGTGAGATTTACCAGCTGTAGATGACAACATTTGTTTTATTTTGACATTTCTTTTATAGACAGCAAAGATTTTATAATTAGGTTTTCTTTCTGCCAAAAACATCGCTGAAAAACTATTTCCCTGAAAAAAAAAAGTTTCCTAGCTTCCTTCACCAGTTGGAGTCATCTTATTTTGATTTGGAAGTTTTTTCATAGGTCATTCAGGAAATGAAACTAGAGAAATCTCTTTTGAAAATTAATTCTTAACAAGAACAAAAAAAATGACTTTTGCCCAATAGAAAATTAGGAGAGAAAATGAAAAGAAACGTGTTTGAAATGATGGTGGTTCCATTATCTTTCTGAATTTTAGTTTATGACAGGCTTGAGTGAACAACATAGGAAACCCCCTTTCTACCTTGTTTCAAATGAGCTGATTTTATTCTTGCTATTACCCTGACCAGTTTTATGTGCGGCTCTTTGAAATACCTGGGAGGCTATACTGGAACTGATGGTTAGCACCCTATTCCTCAGAGGCCTTGAAGTCTCTGGATTTTTTGCTGATAAGTGGTGACCATCGGCCAGGTACCACCTGGCAAAGCTGAATGGCCCCCTTCATGCTGCGGATTCTGCAGTTGGCTTTGTGACTGGGGAGCCCAAGAGAATGAATTGCAGGTGTGTTAATTAACAGTGCTTTCTCTCTGGAGAGCTCTTTAAAAAACGATGGAGGAAGCCACATAGATAACCAACGAGAGAATTGCTAATCGTTGCTAATGGGGAAAACATCATAGAAGCTGATGGCAAAAACAGTCACACTCACTGCACTGACACCTCCCAAATAAGATGCGGAAACACCTTCCAGCTCCTACAGTAGCAGCAGTGGCCAAGTTCTCTTTACAGCCCAGAGTATTTTCCTTCCTGAGTCATACCTCAAGGGCTGCTCCTAAAATCAGATTCCAGACCCAGCCTGCCCTTATCCCCATCACCTCCACTCTTATTTCTACCACCATCATCATCCAACATTTTTGTCTTAAGCACTAATATGTGGAACTGAAAGAGACATTACATAATACTTCAAAGGGGCACATCTATTTAAAATGGAGACAGCAGACATCTTCTACAAGCATTGAGCCAGTATCGTTCATAGCAACCCAGACAACTGAGGGAAACAGTAGTACTGTCTCTGCCATTCTTGATGCCACAGGTGGAGAGCAAACATTTCTCTACAGGATATTTTTGTATTACATGAATAGTACCTTCTTTTAAGTTTTGATTAATTGGTTACTGGTGACTGATACTCAGTGAAGTACAAAGACCCTGGAGGAGTTCGCTTTATCTAGAGATGGTGCCCCCTGTTTTGAACATGCAGGTCTGCTTATGTGAAATAGAATGTGTATTTAATAAAGTGGCTTGGATGACTCTTTGGGCCTTGGGTTTTTGTCCAGAAGAGATGTGAGGTTTCAGAAAAGGTTCTTGTAAGTCTGATAGCAAGTGATAAGACTGATTGTCCCCCACCCGTGTATTGAGGAACTGGTACCTTCATCTAGTGTAGCTCAAGACCCTCTCTCTCCCCTTCAGGAAGCAGAGAAGAACCGAAGGCCTGGTGTGGTAAGGGCTTGATCAGAAGTCTCCTTGGCAGTAGAGTCTGGACTTTCTTACCGACCGTGACAGAGGCTCCTCTAAAGGGAATTACCATCACCTCGAGACACCTCTTCATCTGCTGTATCATAGAAAGAGTGTACACTTGGCTGGGTTTGACTGTGCTTATCTTTTTTCCAGGGAAGTGAGGCTTTATGTGCCTGCACATATAAAACCCACTTTACACCAGGGACATCAGGAGCAGGGCGCTCTGGGTGCAGATGGCGCCTGGGGAGTCGCACAGACCTTGTTTGAATCCTAGCTTTGCCAATTATTAGCTGTTTGGCCTTTTCACATCTCTCTCTCTCTCTTGTTCTTGCATGACAAAATAGTTATAATACTAGACTATTTGTATTGTTGTAAATATTAGCTACTGTTTATTGAGCACATAGATTGTGCCAGGTCCCCAGCCAAACAATGATCATAAATGGTGTCACTGAATTCCCACCGTAATACATGAATGAGGTAGGGGTTGTTACCTCTACATTAAAGATGAGGCTCACACTGCTAGTGAGTGGCTGGCATCAGGCTTCAGTTCCAGATCTGTTGGACTCCAGATTCTGTGATAATGTGGACTCCAGATTCTATAATAATGTGAAATTAAAGCGGGGCCTGGTGTGGACTAGGTGCTTAACAGATGTTGCTTCTCTTTCTGTCTGCCTGCATCCTGTGGGTTTGATAGATTTTTTTTTTCTTTTTTAAAATTTATTTATTTAAAATTTTTTTTTTGACAGATCTTGATTTCTGTGTCGGATTTTTTTATACGTAGCATTCTATAGAGCACATCTGTCATACTGCCCTCCTGTGGTTCATTTGGATAACAGTGGCTTTTAAAAGACATTTAATTGGAGTATAATATACATGCAAATAAGCATTATTTTAAAAACATGTCTCTGAAGTCAACCAAGTGTATGGGTACTTTTGGAGATAATATGATTCTACAACCTTAGTATTTAAGAAATACGACTTTTTACTTTCTTCAGTCTTAGTTTCTAACTCTGAGCCCCACCCATCTGGTAAGATACTTAACTTACATCATTCTCATAACTTCTCTGGCTTTACCACCGTCCTCCATTCCCTCGGTTGTCTGGAAAAGAAACCTCTTCTCAGGCACACAGCGCATGATGAAGCTTTGTCCTGCCATCCTATCAAGAGGGGAGGGATTTTTCTTGCAGTTAATTTTTCACCTGACGGCTCTGTGTACAGAGACATTCATCCCACTGGTGAAGTCTTAACTTTCACACTTACAAAAGAGTTCAGATCACCAGGGAGCAGAATATTAATTTCGTTACCAGTTTAAATGTTAGAAAATTTTTCCAGGAGGAAAATAAAAAGGCTCGCTATCCCCACTTGTTAGGAGCTTTAAGTTCCTAAGTGAAACTTACTCAGAGGTGTCTTTTCATGTACCGGGAGGGGCTCCGCCTACCTGGATTCGTTCTCCCGTGTTACATGCAGTTGCACACATACATTTGCACCCTGGTCATTGGTCAGTGCAGGGCTCTGTGCTGTTATCCTCCGGGGACTTGTTTTTCAGTGGCCCTACCCACGGAGGATGTAAAGGTCTTGTGTCAGACACGAGCCGCGCCGCACTCTGGTCATGTCTGTGTGTGATGGAGAGTCGTGTTGGGTGGGGAGAAGGTAGTTGGTGCAGGAAAGGCTGAAGAGAGATTTTCTATTTTAATTCTTAAGCACCATTTAATAACAACGCACATAGAAGTCTTATGTTCTTAAACATGTCTCATAGTTAACCTCGTCCTCACGCCGTGACCTGATTGTGTTTCAGATAACGGAGGGCAGACTTTGGCGGGGGGCAATAACTGGCCCCTGCGAGGAAGAAAGTGGAGCCTGTGGGAAGGAGGCGTGCGCGGTGTGGGCTTCGTGGCCAGCCCCTTGCTGAAACGGAAGGGCGTGAAGAACCGGGAGCTCATCCACATTTCCGACTGGCTGCCCACCCTGGTGAGGCTGGCCGGGGGCAGCACCGAGGGCACCAAGCCCCTGGATGGCTTCGATGTGTGGAAAACCATCAGGTACCTGCCCGCCCTTCTCTTCTCCCATCCGGCATAGGAGCTCTAAGATCAGCTTATCTCGGCTGAGAAGGATAGCTTTTGTGTGAAAATGGTGGTTCAGCTGACAAACAGATGATTTAAAAAAAAAAAAGAAATGCCTTTAGAAATACTGTAAATATACATATTATTTATACATATTATATATATATATATTTTATGTTCTGGATATGAGATTGTGGGCCTGTGTTTTATATGAAGGGAAAAATTGTCCTCAGTGGCTCACCCTCTACTGGCGGTGGAGAAGCTGTGCTAAGAAGTAGCATAGGGTATTGTTTGCTTTCTACAGGGGGTCAGGGGTCCTGTCCTGTTGCTGCTAGGAGAATGGAGGATCAAGCAGGGAGAGAGAGATGGAATTTGAGCGGGGGAGCAACTGTATACACTTATTATACAATAAGTATCTAATGAGCACCTACTGTGTACCAAGCCCTGGTCTCAGGGCAGAGGAATTATAACAATACACGTAGAAGTCTTCTGTTCTTAGACAGGCAAGATCATGGCTCTCATGGAGTTTATAGTCTAGTGAGGGTGGGGGGAAATAAACAAGCAAACACATACATAAGGAGGTGACTTCCCATAATGATAAGTGCTGTGAAGGCAGTAAAACAGTGTGTTGTGATCCAGACAGCTTGCAGATGTGAAGGAGGTACAACTGGGGAGCAGACTGCAGACTCGGCTGTGGAAGTGGTGGCCGTCCCTCCCTGTTTAGCCACCACAGTGTAGAACCGTGGCCCCCAGAGTGGGGAGGTGCGCACCTGCGAGGGTGCAGGAAGAAACCTTAAACACTTGTAGTTAACTCTATCTCAGCCTTTTAAAGTATATGTTTTATAAGATACATAAGATATTGATAGATGAGTGCATACACCCAATTGATTAATAAATACAAATAAATGTACATATACTGGAGGTATTGTTTTTACAATGGAGAGATTGCAATTACAATTGTCTAGTGTAATAGTTTTTGACCTCTGTTGGGTGTTATAGCAAGGGGTAGTAGCTGATTGGTCCCCCAGTGGCCAGGGAAACATGACCTCCTCTGTCTACAGTTTGGATTTGAAATGTGCTAAGTATTTATCTATATTTTCTTCCAAGTGTTGTGGTTTGATTTTCTTCTATGCAATTCTTGAACTGTTGTGAGATGATTGTGTGTGTTCCATGAAGTCAACATCTAAATCAGAGGAATGGGTTTTTCTTCCCCCCAGGCTTTTGAATTATAGACCTCTTTGAGAGTCTGAAAGCTATGAGGCTACAGAAAGAAAAGTACCTATACATATGCACAAAAATTTAGATAGAATTTATTTTTATGATGTTAGATATTGATTACACATTCTTTTCTATGTACACACAGAAAATATGACATTCTTTGAAAACCTCTGCTTCTCTCACTTATTTTTAATACAAAGACTAATACCTGCTTTATGATTAAAGGGAAATAAAACAAACATTTCTAAGCAAAGCAAACCTAGAACTTCAGTTCAGCTTATTGCCAGCTTTCACTGTGAAGACTTCAGGTTTGACTTACAGGAGCAGGAGAAAGTTTTGAGTGGTTTGGTTATGACGATATACGTGTCAGGCTTGACCTCCAATCAGTTTTGAGTGTTTTATTTTGGTGGCAAAGTGTTGCAAACCCTAGCTTATAAAAGCACACAA